TTGACTTAGGGATTCCCACGACTGGAAAAGATGGAGCACCCGCTGGGAAAGATACACGATCATTTCTGGACTCCGTCACCGGGACGCCGCGACACAGGTAAACATATTCCTGTATGCGATGGGGAGCGAAACGGAAGACATTTTCACGTCACTTCATCTATCAGAAGCAGAGCTAAATGACTACGGCGTAGTGAAAAGAAAGTATGAACTCCACTTTATTTCGCGCATAAACGTCATCTTTGAAAGAGAGAAATTTAACGTGAGGAAGCAAGAACCAGACGAGAAAGTGGTGGCACAGTTTAGCGGACTCCTGCGATTATGGACTACTTCGCGAGGAGCTGCTTTGGGATGGCATCGTCGCAGGTCTCCACGATACGAAGCTGAGCGAAAAGCTCCAGTTCGACGCGAAGCTCACGCTTCAAACTGCTACAGTGTCAGCACAATCCTTCAAGACAGTGATACGACACCAAGCAGAGCTTCACAGCGATAAGACGGAGTCCAGGGAAATCAAGAGCACCGAAAAAAGATAGCCGAGCGAAAACGGCAAGAAGAAAGACACACGCGCTCGTGGTACATCTAATCGTCGAAAATATTTTAAGAGTACTGACATGGTAACCCAGGAGCCGGGGTAAAGAAGGGACGTGGGAAAGACACAAGACTCCAAACACAGCTAAAATTTTATAGCTGTGTTTGGAGTTTTGTTTCTGTCCTACACCCTTCTTTTCCCCGGCTTCAGTGTTACCATGTCTGTATTGAACCAGCTGGCCTGTACCCTTGCTTTAGTTACATTATTTTAACAGTGCGGCGTGGAAATGCCGAAGGTGTGGCAAAGGGTGCAAACGTGAAAAAAAAAATGCGCCGGAAGAAACAAGGAATGCAACGCTTGAAAGAAGGTAGGACACTTTGACAGCGTATGCTTCTCCAAGCTTGCAACAGAATCTCACAGCTCACCAGTGCATAAACCAGATCTCAATGAAGTGTTCACGGCTGCCCTAGTACACGCAGACAGCTGAGATCCCTTGTACATCAAGGCGAAAGTCAACAACGAGCAGATCACATTCAAGGTGGACACTGGGGCAGACGTTACCGCCATTCCTCATAGCGAGTACAAGGTCGGAGAGATGGCAAAGCTAGAGCCAGCCGGAGAAGATCTTCGGGAGGCAGGAGACTCGCCGTTGACAACACTCGGGAAGTTCCGGGCGTCGATAACTTGGAACGGCAGAACAACGAGAGAAACGGTCCCGGCATCCTTTAATCCGTCTCCCGGCGACTCAAGCTCTGCAAGTACTGCCAAGCCTGAACAAAATCAAGGCTGACAACTATCTGGAACATGATCGCGTACTTACCAAGTACCCATCTCTATTTCAGGGACTGGGGAAGATGAAGGTACTTTATACGATCTCACTTCACCCAGATGCGAAGCCTTTCGCAATCACGTTTCCCCGACAATAGCCCATCGCACTTCTGCCCAGTGTAGAGCTGGAATTGAGAAGAAAACAAGAAATGGACGTGATTAAGAAAGTGGAACACGCCACAGTCTGGTGTTTACCCATGGTGGTGGCCAAAAAAGCAAGATGGAGCTCTCCGGATTTGTGTGGACTACACGCAGTTAAACCAACACATTGTGCGCGAACGAATCATCATGCCGACGGTGGAAGAAAACCTAGCGAAACTCACAGGAGCGACTCTCTTCAGCAAGCTGGAATCGAATGCAGGATATTGACAAGCACCACCGGCTCCAGAGTCAAGAGACCTGACGTCATTCATGACACCAGTGGGACGCTTTTAGTTCAAGCGATTCCCGTTCGGGATAGCAACAGCGCCAGAATTCTTTCAGCGCGAAATGCGGTGGATTCTCGAAGGAATCCAGGGCCAAGTGTGTCACATGGATGACATTTTAATTTTTATACGAAACAAGCCTGAACATGACCTAAATCTCGAACTGACACTCCGCCGCCTCCATGACGCAGGGGTGACCTTACACACGAACAAGTTCGAGTTCGGCAAAAGAAGCATCAAGTTTCTAGGGCACATCATAGACAGAAGAGGAATTGCACCTGACCCCAAGAAAACTGATGCCATGGTCAAGATAGAAGCTCCCGCAATCTTGCTTGAGCTACGGTCATCCCTGGGGATGGTGAACCACCTCAGAAATTTCTACCAAATATAGCGGAGGAAACCGAGCCACTCCGAGATCTTCTGAAAGGAGATGCGAGTTGGCTCTAGAGTGAAGCCCAAGAAAAAGCATTTAAAAAAATCAAATACTTGTTGGGCAAGACTCCAATACTCACGTTCTTCAACCCAAACGCACACCGGACACTATTAGTTGATGCTTCATCCTATGGACTTGGAGCGGTGCTACTCCAGGAGGACAAGGACGGCATCAAGCGTCCAGTAGCTCACGCTTCGAGAGCACTGACTCCGACGGAGCAGAAGTACGCGCAAGTCGAAAAAGAAGCCTTGGCGATCGTTTGGGCTTGCGAACTTTTCCGCAACTACTTGGTAGGTCAAGGGTTTTATGATGAGACGGACCACAAGCCATTGGTACCGTTGTTGTCAACAAAACGTCTAGACGAGATGACGCCAAGTTCACAGCGGTTGCAAGTGCGCATTTTCGGAAACGACTTTACGATATCGAACGTACCGGGCAAGCATATGTACAGCAGGTGTGTTGTCCAGGAAACCTCTTCGAATGATGAAACACCCGATAGCCTCTACGGAAGCGCTAGTTCGAGAGTACGAAGTGCTCACGGTCGATCTATTCCCGGTGTCTCCGTCATTTTTGGACAGACTGAGGTCCAAACTGAAGAAAGACACATCCATGACAAGGGTAATGACGTACCGCGAAAAAGAATGTTTGGGGATAGAAACGCTTCCTACTGACATGAAGGGGTTTGCTAGGCTTTCTGCAGAGCTGAGCACTACACAAGACCTACTAATGCGCAATGATAGTCTTGTTATCCCACGGAGCCTCCAAAAAGAAGTATTACAGCGACTTCACTGTGGACATGAGGGGGTCGTTTGGTGCAGAGCACGAGCAAGAGATTCTGCGTGGTGGCCCGGAATCAGCAAACAGATATAGGACTACGTCAGCCAGTGTAAAACATGCATTGAGCATCGACGACGACCCACAGAGCATCTGCTTCAGACTCCTTTACCCGATCGCTCGTGGCAGGAACTCGGAACTGACATTTTCGAGCTCAGTGTAAAGAAGTACATAATAGCCAACGACTACTACTCGAAGTTCATAGAGCTGGAAGAACTTTCCCGAAGAAACACAGAACACATAACAAAAGTGTTCAGCCAGATATTCGCGAGACATGAATGCCCAGAAGTACTGCACTCAGACAATGGCCCTCCGTTTCGATCGAACGGCTTTCGGTGGTTTGCGAACGAATGGGGAGTCACATTTGTGACCTCAAGCCCTTACGACGCTCAAAGTAACGGAGAGGCTGAACGAGCTGTACAAACAGCTAAAAACCTTCTGAGCAAATCACCCAATGTAGCACAGGCTCTTCTAGCCCACAGAACAACTCCAAGCCCAGAAGGTCTCTCTCCAGCGGAGCTCCTCATGGGGAGGAAGTTACGTTCAACAGTTCCGACTGCGCCAAATACACTGACGCCTCGGTGGCACCATGTACGCAAGTATAGGCGACAGTACAGCAAACGAAAAACAAGAGAAGCCTCGCACTACAATCGACGCCACCGTACAAGAGTTCGCAGTACAACACCTCCTCACTGAGAGGTGTGGATACGCGCGGGCGCAGCTTCTCAATGAAGAATACACCACCAGGCGGGAATGCCGCGGTCATACGTGGTGGAAACAGGTGAAGGTACAGTGAGGCGCACAGGCCGTCATCTGCAGCCCGCGTCTTTGGAAGTGGACAACTAGACGGTCGGGCAACAGCAGCCCGTAACTTCGGGCGTACACAACCAAACAGTTGGGCAACAATGCACCGAAACCTCCGCAACTGGAACAAGGAGCGGCAGGGTATCACGTCCAACAGAGCACTACGCACAATAATGCTTCGAAAGGGGGAGGTGTCATATAAAGCGCCTCGCGTTCTGGGATGCGTGTGGGGAGAAAAAGAAGAAGGTGGGTTGTGTGCATGAGCGAGAGATAAACCCGACGGTGTTTTAGTTCCGCTTGCCTCGACTCTCCTTTACATACCATTCGGTAACACGACAAATTCCACTGAAAAAGAGCAACTCATTGTAAAAACTGTACAACACACTGGCTGAAGGGAAATCACCTTTAACATGCCTTTTCACAAAGCAGCAGCTACCGCTCTTTATCGCAGCCTAATTCGTGTGGCCGTTTATTTCATTGCAATTTTATGTCTTAGGCTGCGCTTGTAAGAATTCAACATGGTTATATAGATTTATGGATGCTGCGAATTTTACACTATACGATATCAAGTTTAATGTTCTAGTTTTTCACAACACTCGCGGTGGAATAATTCACATTGTGTTCCTATAAACTTGGATCTTGGCTTCTGCCTCAATTTGTCAGTACTTGGGTTTTACGAAGTTGGTTTAAATGTAGCACAAAGTCTTGGGTGTAATTCGGCTTTTGAATTGGTTGATGATACTAAATCTGACATTGTCTCGTTCGAGACTTAGTCTCGTTAAAGGTTCCCGGGTAAAACGTCACATCGCACTGGCTAAATTGTCCTTTAGATTGAACTGAATTGATTTAAGGTGGCGGAATCCCTTCTACAGGCAATCAGACTAAAAAACTAAGAAGTATATAAAAAAAAAAAAAAATTCTGCGTTGAACCAGAGTTGCCAATGTCTCAGGAACAGGTCAATTTCTAATTTCTCGCGCAATAAACATTTTCAACATCCAGTTTGACTTTTTGTGAGGACATTGCTCGTACTCTATTTATGGTGTTACTATAGTCTGTCACATAATTATATCTGGAAACGCTATTTGTAAAAAATATTGCAAGAATCTCGTAATTTAAGAAGTCCCAAGAAATTGTTTGATTCTTTCGCAGATTGCGCAAGAAATGGAAGACCGACCGCGATCGAGCTTGTCCGATAGGGGTTGGAAGAAGCATCGTTCCAAGACCACCATCATTTCGGCACTTATGACATTCGTCGCCATCTTCCTCGTGGTAGCATCCGTCGTCTTGATGAAGCTTCGTTCGAAACGCACGGAAACTAAAGTTGAAATTCGCTCATGCACGAGGCCCGACTGCCTGCTCCACAAGTACGTGCTCACCAAAGGAATTAACACCAGCGTGGATCCTTGTTCCGACATCACCGCTTACGTTTGCTCGGGATTAAAGCGTGGTCGCGATTACCCCAACGAGATGGGCCTCATTCGTCGCTGGGATGAAAAGGGCGCGGACTACTTGGAAAGAAACCAATTTCATTTCAAGGCCACGCAGAAGGCTGCCGCCATGTACAGAAGCTGCGTGAAGCAAGGGCACGCGAACCTGACGAGCGCCGTCATCGGTTTCCTCAGAGCCCGTGGATTGCATTGGCCCAACGAGGAATCAAGTACGGTAGACCCTTTGGACGTCGTCTTGGACTTGCTGGTCAACTGGGGAGTCCCATTTTGGTTCGAAATTAACCTTCGAAAGCTACCTTCGCAGACCAGACACAGTCTTTCCATCGGCCCCGTTTACAGTCGTGCGTTGTTGGTTCAGCGAATTAAAATACTCCGAAAACTAGATCAACAGAGTAACTACGCCACGCGCTTCTACAACCTATATGGATATGAAGTGAGCCCACGAGATCTTCAAGCGCGCCTGTTAACGGAAGAAAGCATTCTAACGGCATTGGAGGAGGCGGTGGGCAATCGAAGCAGTTCATCGAGAAGATTACCGCTGTCCGCTTTCGGCCAGGTTACACCAAACATTTCTCCCCGCCGCTGGCTGAGGTGTCTCAACAACAATTTACACCCGCACGTGGTGCTTCCGGAAGACACGGTGTTTCTCGAGCGTTGGGCCCTGTTGGCCCAAGTCAGTGTCCTGTTCGGAAGCTTCAACAACAGTCAGCTTTTGCACACACTTGGCTGGTGGTTCGTCCAAGAATACTCTCTGCTTGGTTCACCCGAGGCGTTGCTTTACATGTACGGCCACAAGGAGATCGCGGATGCCAAATACCGCCTGGATTGCTACACCACAGTCGAGAGCCGCTTTCGGAATCTGCTCTGGTTGGAGAGGACGCCGAAAGAAGCAATGATCAGAGTAAAGCGCATGCTACTGAACATTCTGAAGCATACGGCGATCCTGTTAAACAGCAGCGCCTGGCTGGAGTCGACGGCAAAACTGGAGGCCACTGAGATTCTTGAGAGCATAACTTTGAAACCATTAGACATGTTTTTGCGAGCAGGCGATCAAATCCTCGCCGAGTACAATCAATTTCAGTCACGTTCGCGGTCTTTCATCGAATACTGGATTGAGACAGCCATGGAGCACAAGAACGTCACGAGTAACTGGCCTTACGATGACACACTGTTGACTCGAAACGTTCGCTATTCTCCTGTCGTCAAGTATGCCTACTTTTGGAACAGCATATTCGTGCACATGGCTGCCTTGGCTTCGCCAATCTTCTACGCTCACGGAATGTTCTCTGCCAATTACGGTGGCATTGGCGCTCTGATCAGTCGAGAAGTCTTCCGAATATTCGACAAACACGTAAGTTTGAATAACAAATAGTCACTAAAATATGTCGCTGTGGTCGCCATATCACAACTGCCGAGCGCTCTCTGATTATGGCGGACTTGAGCGGGCAGGGCGGGGCGATCGCTCACTTTGCTTAACGGGCGAGAGTTGACCCGCGCTTCATCTGTCAAGCAAAGTATCATCTCGGCTTTGCACAATGAATGTCGTATAACGGTTTCAAAGTTCTACAGCGCCTCCTTGCGTCACTTTTACGGGCTATAGCCTATGAGCCACCAGAATCCCAACCATCGAAACAAACCTTGGTCGTTAAGTCGCAGCTATGAACCATAACTCAACGCTTCCAAAACATGCCGTTGTTGAGCACGTGTTGATGGCTATAGAACTCACGGTAGCCTTCAGTACACGGTGAACAATAGAATTATGGCACGTCTTCAAGGATAATGTTGTTGAGAGAGGATAAGTATATTTACCCATAGGTCGTGCTAATATTCCTGAGTACAAGATATTTCGGTGACGCCCTCTTACGATTCCTACCCTTGATGTAACTATCATGATTTGGTTGTGGTCCTGGTGACTTATCCGTGGTTAAAGAATAGTTAAATAATACACCCGGTTCTGAGCGCGTGCCTTCTGCGTCGTACCCTTCGCACCACTGAATATGTTGTTATCAGCAAAAACAAATTGGAATAAGTACAAGCATGGTGCGATGATCTTTCGTACAATCCACCCGGGGGAGTTGTAGTCACTGCATGCTCAATAGCACCAAAGAGAACTAGAAACAACTGTGTGCTCCGCTCATGCTTTCAGTTGAAGCTCAGCATGTGGAATGTTGGCGTGGTGGCGCTGCTATCTAAGTTGCTTAGTTCGCCTGGATGTTCGGTGTAGCAACTTGCTTGAGTTGACGACGGTGGGAGAAGAGTTCGCCCCATCCTGGCTTAAATTTCGAAACGAAGAGTTCAATGTATGCCACCCTTTAGAACCATCGTACTGAACAAGGGATTGATAAAAGTGTTTTCAGCACGGAATGTACTTTATCGGCCGATTTAATTAAAAATGCTTTGGGTTCCACCGCCACGCTCGACCACTCTCCTCTTACGGTCGATGGATACACAGGTCAAGGTCAATATAGCCCCTGGACTATATTGACCTTGACCTTCTGGTCGCCGACGTTGGCATCGACGCCCCACGCAACGTCAGACATCGCTGTGACGTCACGCTAACGACGATGTCGTCCTGACGTCGTCGTTAACGTCAACGACGACGCCAATGCGACATCACGACTACGTTGTCGGCGTCGCTAACCAGGTGTTACCGGGTTTAGCTTCTGATTCCCGAGATGGAGCTGTGCATCGCATGTATATAAGCTGTGCATCGCATGTATATAAGGGTATGTTCGATAATAAAGTTTGATTGGTCCCGAGAGAGTCACTGGCACTGTCGCCTATCTATCGCCCGATACCGGCCCGCCCACACAGCGCCGAACATGGTGTCGGAAGCGTGCTCACGTCTGTCGCAGTGACGCGAGGCCTATATATCGCCCGATACCGTCCCGCCCACGCGGCGCCGAACAGACGTCACGACGGAGCCTTCACGTTGTGTAACATCGTCGCTTTCGCCAACATCAACGTCGACGCGCCGTCACGATGAAGTCTTAATGTCGTGTAACGTCGTCGTCCTTGACCATGACGTCAATATCGTGAAGTTGTCGGGATGTCGTCGTGACGGCGAGTTGCGTTACGTCGACAAGGACGTCGACGACCTGATGCCAAACGTCTCAGGACGTCGCGTCGATGACGTTAGGATGACGTCATCTTGACGTCGCGTGACGTCGTCGTCGTCAACGTCAACTACGTCGTTCTCAACGCGAGTGACGTCACAACGCCGTCTTGGTGTCGTGTAACGCCGTTGGCAACGTCGACGTCATGGCGTCGTCGTAATGTCGCGTGGCGTTGTGACGACACGCTAAGTCGTGGTGACGTTACGTTCTGATGTGACGCCTGACGTCGAAGCTGTATAGAGAATATAACTCGGGGCTCTCCTGTTTATACAAGACCTTGACCTGTGTACCGGTCGAGCGTAACGCTCGAGGATAACGGTCGGGCGTGGCTGTGAAACGCAACGCTTTTTTCACAGAAAACGGCTGGTAAAACACATTCTGTAAAAAAAGTATCGGCTCGTTTGGTGGAGAGTTTATATTATAGTGCTCGTTTACTGATTGTTTATGCAAATACGAGTCCAGAATACAATCGTCCTGTAGTCATACAGTGTAGCGAAACGTGAGCACAAATTTATGTCCTCGGTACTTTTTTTTTTTTTTAGATGGATTTACGCTCAGACACTCGGGAGCCGGAACAAACAAGCGAACCCCACGACGATAGTTTAGCCGCATCAAACGTGCATAGCGGCGGGTGCCAAGAAGGTTAATCTGGATCGAGACGATACCAGCAAGAACTACGATTTTACCCAAATCAATGTTAATCTCCCAAATAAATTTCGAAATTTATCCTAATAGCCTTTTAAGTTCCGCGAAATTAGCGACGCATGGCAGAGCGGGACTTGGTTCCAAGCCACTTCGCTCGGAGCGCCCTCTAATACTTTTTCCACCTCCGGGGCTTCAGAAATAGCGCTTCGGTGGCACTCAGTCGTTTCTAGTACACTCTATCACCGCAGTCGTCGAAATTCTCTTGAATTTCGACGACTGTCTCTCTTGACGGAGCTCTTGACCGAACGCGCAAAACTGACTGCAGTGACGCTTTTGGCAGCACGTGTCGTCGTATACAATCGGTCATTTAGTTGTTACGTAGTGCTGTGGACGAGCGGAGCGCAAAGTGCCTTTTGAGCACCGTCAAACTTGCCAATCTTTGGAGACGTTACGTCATGACTGGCAACAAAATCGTAGAGGGGTGTTTGAAGCTATTGTGATCGCAGCAGGGAGGCAAATGAACGCGTGGAAGTAACATGGCTTCTGTCGCACATCCGGATATGTTACAGAGGTGCCGTTCTCAACCACAAATAGAACAGTTAAGTAAATGAGTACATGAACGAAATTATTTGGTAGACATTGGGACTCTCATTACCCTGCACTTTCTAATGTTTAGTTTCATTAGCCAAGCGTCATACCACACATAAATGTTATAAAGTTTGGATTGAACAATCGATGCGCCGAACAAGTTAGATATTTCCCAATATGAAACACAATCGAAAATGGAGGGGTGTTTAGGACTTATTAGAGGAACACCTGAGGATACCAATGAAATATAAGTCATGATCATTAGCAGATAGGCTAGATATTGGGTGCGACCTTGCAAAATACACTCAATCCACTTCAAAACATTAGGTTAAGTTCGCTAAGCTTGAAAAGTAGTAGTTGATGTGTCACGGTGTCAATTGTACGGTGTTGATTGTATCGACAAAAAAATGAAAGCCGCTTACAACTCCCTGTAACGCCGAATTAGAGCGCAGCTCTTGAGGAGGAGGAGGGAAGGGCACTGGGGGGGGGGGTTAAACTAACCAGGGGGGGGTCACGTTACCTTGGGGGTCACGTGACCCCCAATGCCGATGATGTCATCACTGACGTCACTGACGACGTCATCAGTGACGATGACGATGCGGGTACCGATGACGTCATTAGTGACGTCACTGATGACTTCACCAGTGATGATGACGATGACGATGCGAATGTCGGTGACGTCATCAGTGACGTCGCTGATGACGTCATCAGTGATGATGACGATGACGATGCGGATGCCGGTGACGACATCAGTGACGTCACTGATGACGTCATCAGTGATGATGACGATGACAATGCGGATGTCGGTGACGTCATCAGTGATGATGACGATGACGATGTGGATGCCGGTGACGTCATCAGTGATGATGACGATGACGATGTGGATGCCGGTGACGTCATCAGTGATGATGACGATGACGATGTGGATGCCGGTGACGTCATCAGTGATGATGACGATGACGATGCGGATGCCGGTGACGTCATCAGTGATGATGACGATGACGATGTGGATGCCGGTGACGTCATCAGTGATGATGACGATGACGATGTGGATGCCGGTGACGTCATCAGTGATGATGACGATGACGATGCGGATGCCGGTGACGTCATCAGTGATGACGATGACGATGTGGATGCCGGTGACGTCATCAGTGACGATGACGATGTGGATGCCGGTGACGTCATCAGTGATGATGACGATGACGATGTGGATGCCGGTGACGTCATCAGTGACGATGACGTCATCGGGGGTCACGCGACATCGGCGGGGGTCACGTGACCTCGAGGAGGGGGCCACGTGACTTCGGGGGGTCACGTGACCCCCCACGAGGTCACGTGACCTTGGTGGGGGGCTCGCGCGGTGCATTATGGGACATTTCCCATGATGCACCGCGCGGCCGACGCCGTCGTTAACGTCAACGACGACGCCAATGCGACATCACGACTACGTTGTCGGCGTCGCTAACCAGGTGTTACCGGGTTTAGCTTCTGATTCCCGAGATGGAGCTGTGCATCGCATGTATATAAGCTGTGCATCGCATGTATATAAGGGTATGTTCGATAATAAAGTTTGGTTGGTCCCGAGAGAGTCACTGGCACTGTCGCCTATCTATCGCCCGATACCGGCCCGCCCACACAGCGCCGAACATGGTGTCGGAAGCGTGCTCACGTCTGTCGCAGTGACGCGAGGCCTATATATCGCCCGATACCGTCCCGCCCACGCGGCGCCGAACAGACGTCACGACGGAGCCTTCACGTTGTGTAACATCGTCGCTTTCGCCAACATCAACGTCGACGCGCCGTCACGATGAAGTCTTAATGTCGTGTAACGTCGTCGTCCTTGACCATGACGTCAATATCGTGAAGTTGTCGGGATGTCGTCGTGACGGCGAGTTGCGTTACGTCGACAAGGACGTCGACGACCTGATGCCAAACGTCTCAGGACGTCGCGTCGATGACGTTAGGATGACGTCATCTTGACGTCGCGTGACGTCGTCGTCGTCAACGTCAACTACGTCGTTCTCAACGCGAGTGACGTCACAACGCCGTCTTGGTGTCGTGTAACGCCGTTGGCAACGTCGACGTCATGGCGTCGTCGTAATGTCGCGTGGCGTTGTGACGACACGCTAAGTCGTGGTGACGTTACGTTCTGATGTGACGCCTGACGTCGAAGCTGTATAGAGAATATAACTCGGGGCTCTCCTGTTTATACAAGACCTTGACCTGTGTACCGGTCGAGCGTAACGCTCGAGGATAACGGTCGGGCGTGGCTGTGAAACGCAACGCTTTTTTCACAGAAAACGGCTGGTAAAACACATTCTGTAAAAAAAGTATCGGCTCGTTTGGTGGAGAGTTTATATTATAGTGCTCGTTTACTGATTGTTTATGCAAATACGAGTCCAGAATACAATCGTCCTGTAGTCATACAGTGTAGCGAAACGTGAGCACAAATTTATGTCCTCGGTACTTTTTTTTTTTTTTAGATGGATTTACGCTCAGACACTCGGGAGCCGGAACAAACAAGCGAACCCCACGACGATAGTTTAGCCGCATCACACGTGCATAGCGGCGGGTGCCAAGAAGGTTAATCTGGATCGAGACGATGCCAGCAAGAACTACGATTTTACCCAAATCAATGTTAATCTCCCAAATAAATTTCGAAATTTATCCTAATAGCCTTTTAAGTTCCGCGAAATTAGCGACGCATGGCAGAGCGGGACTTGGTTCCAAGCCACTTCGCTCGGAGCGCCCTCTAATACTTTTTCCACCTCCGGGGCTTCAGAAATAGCGCTTCGGTGGCACTCAGTCGTTTCTAGTACACTCTATCACCGCAGTCGTCGAAATTCTCTTGAATTTCGACGACTGTCTCTCTTGACGGAGCTCTTGACCGAACGCGCAAAACTGACTGCAGTGACGCTTTTGGCAGCACGTGTCGTCGTATACAATCGGTCATTTAGTTGTTACGTAGTGCTGTGGACGAGCGGAGCGCAAAGTGCCTTTTGAGCACCGTCAAACTTGCCAATCTTTGGAGACGTTACGTCATGACTGGCAACAAAATCGTAGAGGGGTGTTTGAAGCTATTGTGATCGCAGCAGGGAGGCAAATGAACGCGTGGAAGTAACATGGCTTCTGTCGCACATCCGGATATGTTACAGAGGTGCCGTTCTCAACCACAAATAGAACAGTTAAGTAAATGAGTACATGAACGAAATTATTTGGTAGACATTGGGACTCTCATTACCCTGCACTTTCTAATGTTTAGTTTCATTAGCCAAGCGTCATACCACACATAAATGTTATAAAGTTTGGATTGAACAATCGATGCGCCGAACAAGTTAGATATTTCCCAATATGAAACACAATCGAAAATGGAGGGGTGTTTAGGACTTATTAGAGGAACACCTGAGGATACCAATGAAATATAAGTCATGATCATTAGCAGATAGGCTAGATATTGGGTGCGACCTTGCAAAATACACTCAATCCACTTCAAAACATTAGGTTAAGTTCGCTAAGCTTGAAAAGTAGTAGTTGATGTGTCACGGTGTCAATTGTACGGTGTTGATTGTATCGACAAAAAAATGAAAGCCGCTTACAACTCCCTGTAACGCCGAATTAGAGCGCAGCTCTTGAGGAGGAGGAGGGAAGGGCACTGGGGGGGGGTTAAACTAACCAGGGGGGGGTCACGTTACCTTGGGGGTCACGTGACCCCCAATGCCGATGATGTCATCACTGACGTCACTGACGACGTCATCAGTGACGATGACGATGCGGGTACCGATGACGTCATTAGTGACGTCACTGATGACTTCACCAGTGATGATGACGATGACGATGCGAATGTCGGTGACGTCATCAGTGACGTCGCTGATGACGTCATCAGTGATGATGACGATGACGATGCGGATGCCGGTGACGACATCAGTGACGTCACTGATGACGTCATCAGTGATGATGACGATGACAATGCGGATGTCGGTGACGTCATCAGTGATGATGACGATGACGATGTGGATGCCGGTGACGTCATCAGTGATGATGACGATGACGATGTGGATGCCGGTGACGTCATCAGTGATGATGACGATGACGATGTGGATGCCGGTGACGTCATCAGTGATGATGACGATGACGATGCGGATGCCGGTGACGTCATCAGTGATGATGACGATGACGATGTGGATGCCGGTGACGTCATCAGTGATGATGACGATGACGATGTGGATGCCGGTGACGTCATCAGTGATGATGACGATGACGATGCGGATGCCGGTGACGTCATCAGTGATGACGATGACGATGTGGATGCCGGTGACGTCATCAGTGATGATGACGATGACGATGTGGATGCCGGTGACGTCATCAGTGATGATGACGATGACGATGTGGATGCCGGTGACGTCATCAGTGACGATGACGTCATCGGGGGGTCACGCGACATCGGCGGGGGTCACGTGACCTCGAGGAGGGGGCCACGTGACTTCGGGGGGTCACGTGACCCCCCACGAGGTCACGTGACCTTGGTGGGGGGCTCGCGCGGTGCATTATGGGACATTTCCCATGATGCACCGCGCGGTTACGCCGACGCCGACGGCGACGCCGCTCAAGCCGGAAACGGGCCCCTAAGAGCTGCGCTCTAAAATACAATCAACTATTGATGAACGCTCCTATACAGAAAGCAAGAAGTTGGGAAATTCAAGAAATTGAGGAGTCGTTATTGCAGGCAAGTTTGATTCAATGCCGCTAAATTATGTTCGTTCAACTTGTTTTCTATAGGCCATCGCTTTGGACGTCTTCCGTAAGAACCACTCGTGGATGGCTGAGGTATCCAAGGGGGTGCTGAAAGCGAAGAAAGCCTGCTTCAAGGCTCAGCACGCGAGGCTTTCCGACACCGCAGCTCTGCTCATCGCCCACAGAGCCTACAAATCGGCCGTGCAAAGTCCGAATTCCGACACGTACGCCGAAGACCTCGGAGACAACCTCACGTCAGGTCGAGTGTTCTTCCTGACCCACTGCCGAACCAAGTGCACAGCGTATCCTAAGATGAAGAGCTGTCACCACGATGTTCGCCACCTCAAAGCCTTTGGCAAAGCTTTTCGCTGCGGCAAGAACTCTCCGATGGTCTCCCCTGCCATGTGCTCCATTTTCTGAAGGTTTCCTATATGAACCGATATACGAGTGAGTTCGGCAATGGTATTGACAGCCGGAATTGGTCTTAAAATGATTGTGTGTGTGTGTGTTTGTAAAGTGTGTGGAAGTATGTTACCCGGAAAAACGATTCGTCTGGCGAATCGGTTGCTCAAAGTTAAAGTTATTGAAAGTTAAGGATGAGCACATCGGTTGAAACTAGACGCTGTTTAAATATAAAGATAGGGTTGGACAAAGCGACATATCTCCAAATATGTGTCATCACGTTCGTCCCGACGTTTATAGCATCAGTTACGTTCAATTTGCTCCAGTTTATATATATATATATTTTTTTGTATTTGTTTACTCATGTGCCGTACTCGCTTGCCTATATTCTTGAAAGTGGGCACAATTATGCTCACACATTGAACATGCTTTTCAATATCTGAGAAACTGCACGAAGTAGTATTGCCAATTTCTTTTTCATTAGCCCATCAAACCGGGAAAGAAACAATTGCCATTGGTTCAGTGCTGATTCCATTTGAATTCGTCAGACTAGAAAGGATCGTCATATTATTACTTGGATGACTCTCAAACAGGCTTTATACAATCAAAATGTTTTTTATTATTATTTTGAGAGGGAGTTTTCAGTGAAGAGATTCGACAGATTTTATCTTTGATCATACAAAATTATTAGGATCTAACACACGCCTCAGAGTAAGAAAGAAACATTGCTTTGTGCTAGAGGATGTATGTAAATTTTATTTCCCCTTAATGTTTTCTGTGTCGGAATACAAAACTACAGCACCAGTTTATAACGCAGTTTTTTTAATATTTCTTGATTATATATAAAACTGAATTATTATTTATCCAGTAGTGCGGAATGTTTAGAGCGACTCGCAGTAGGAAACGCATGCATAGAATAATCTAACGGCCTAGTCTTTCTTACCAGCGACGATGTCTAATTTAATTCTATGAACTACATGTCAGTCGTGACCACCGCGTAATCTAAGTATTGCCACGTCATAGCGTCTTTCCTGGCTATCGTATCTAAATAATATTAAAACATAATAACGGGCTTCGAAAGATGAAAGCACTTATGCCCTGAAAATGCTATGCCTTGGGAAAAAAAAACGCAAGTATCTCCCTTTAGCTTAAAATCCATCACCCAGCCCTTGATCTACGATCTCCCTCCCAATGGCTCGTTCTTGCGGCGCCCGGCGCGTTCTAAGCCGACCGGAAGTGAATCCCAAACAGCCTCCTTCCGGAACCGGAAGCTTTTTCTTCTTCCGGCGTCTGCTCGGCTAAGCCCGGTCCCTCCTGGGTCGCAGCTTCGGCCGTAATCCGTACGTTTCACAGTTTCCCTCGCAGAGGGAGCCACGAGGATATCGTCGCTGCTGTTGGACTAATTTGTTTACTGACCGTGGATATGGCTGAGCTTTCCCAGAGAGCCTCTTTTTCCGCAAAGGACGATGACGTCGCTTCCGGTAGGACTTGTGGCGGCTAAAGAGGGTCTAAGCAATAAGTAGGGTCTATTTTTGTTGTCTCTGGTGCTCTGCCAGTCCTGCAAACGCAGTTCTAACGAGGAGAAGATATAGGTGAAAACAGACGATATCGGTATAGCGTCCGGCCAATGAAGCTTGGTTCGACACGTAGTGCGATGTTATGCAGAAGTCTCGAAAATCTGAGACGCCACGCAGCCACAATCATTGAGCCCGATCTGGAGCTCGAACGTATGAGTGCCCCGGCTAACTGACATAACACTAGTGCCCAATCGTTTAATTGCACAAGCTGCCCCAAAAAGGCCCTTTTTGGCCACTGGCCGCGGCAACAAAAGGCTATAGCCATGTTTAAATTGCCCAGTTACCAATGACGCGTATCTGTAGCGCTGTACTCAATACGCATGGGAACACGACCGGAGAAACGTATAATGTGGGATAAACACCGAGCCTTGAATACCTTGTCAAAAAAATAGCAAAACCAAAGCCTGCATTATATTAATGCCCCTTCAACGGTGTATTATAGTCGTCTGTGTTTCATATCGGAGTTCAAACGTTCAGAAATTTCGTTATCTCTTGCTTTTTCTTTTCTCAAACATAAAGGAACACTTTAAAATTTTCATGAGCCAAAACGTACAATTAAAGCACACCGTTACTGAAAATGTCACAGCTTCCTATGTGCAGACGCCGATGTTTCTATCATATCTTACAGCTCACACCAATAGTTCTGCCAACTAATACCCTCCGATAAAAATCAAAATGAGCAAATGAAAGGAAACAGTCCCTCACGCTTCGCGTATCCAGCAGCCTTCATAGAAGGAAAAAAGGTCGAAGAGAAAAACTACAGGAAAATAGGGAGGAACAGGAACCGGGTGCAGCAGACTTTGAAAGCACTTTGAATCCAAACCGATATGCTGAATTTTCTAATATTGACATCAAAAACGAACTCGCCAATCTATTTGTAGAGTTTAATCTACTCCTCGCCTAATGAAGCCGTCTTGACTGGGCAATCAAGCGAAACACCTACGCCACAGTTTCTATTGCGATGCATAAATATCTTCAAAACGCGTGATGGGATGGTTTTATACTGTTCATAATAAGTGTTTTACTGGTCACCCCCAATCCTCGATGTGTTTCTAAATGCGTCTGCGAAACTTGTGGGAGCAGAGTGAAAGATAAACGGCTTGCCGAATCACCAATGGCAACAGAATATACGAAACGATATATGAATCGTTCGTCCCAGCTAACTATAGACGCTTTGCACACGCGCAAAATTACAGCCCCCATTTCTGACCTTCTCTTGTCTTTTTCATATGCCGAGCCACTGAAGCGAGCGTTGACAACCCTCCACAGAGGCCAATGCTGTGGAGAAGGACGCAGTACAACCTAAAATATCAATAACCTGCCCTGCTATGGTTATGATGAAGTGAATTAAATGTAATAAGAAGAAACAAAAACTGAAGGTCAGTTATGGTGGCGCCCATGCACAGCTGCTGCAAAGCGTCTATAGCTCTTCCGACGTTCCCCTCATTTCATTCTCTTCACCTACCCAAGATAACAAAACTACAACAGGAAATTACTTTTTCGTTCTTTTTTGTTTTGTTTTGTTTTGCTTGTGCCTTGGTCGTTTGTATAGACAAAAAAAAATAATGAATGGGAATGGGAATTACTACAACGGTATCGAAATACGGCGTGATATTTCTCGCCAGCGTTTCCATCATTATCGTCAACGACTTTGAGGGAACCTGTAGATTACAGGGGTCAATTAAACGAAGAAACTTTACGGCAACAAATACGCGACGACGCTCTTTTAACCAGACTTGGGAAGTAATTTGTTACAAGGAACGGATTTCTTGTAATCCGTTATTTTTTAAAGTAATTTTGTAATTGCCACGTTACTTTTTTTTCGGAAGTAATTTGTAATGTAATTTCGTTACAAAATATTGGTGAAGGATTACTTTAATTACTCGTTACTTTTTACAAATACGAGCATAATACAGTAACTGGAGCGATGCGAGCAGAACATTCAGCAGCATAAGGAGAGCAAGTTGAACAAAATAGAAAACACCAGGAAGGGGAGAATAGCCGAAAAGAAATCACAGTTTTTTTGTATGACCGGTCACTAGAACCACTAGAAAAATGTACAAATATACGAAAGCCAAAGATCAAGTAAGACAACGCCGAGTAGGCTCTCCGTCGCCTTTTATTGTGTTTTTCTTCTTCTCCCGGGCAGGAGGAAGCTCTTCGTGCTTAATTGCTTTGGTTTTTTACACCATTTCATCGTTTCCAACTTCTTCGACGTCTCCCGCCGCCTGCACAGACATCGAACGCGAATTCTCTTTGTCTTTGATGTGCGCTACCGTATACCGTAAAGCGCCCGGCGCGAGGCTAAGAGCATCGTCTTGGAGTGTACCGACGATACTTCTTTTTGTTTACTTGTCTGCGCATGGTGATCGAGTCCACTCCTCACCTTACAGTCAACTGTCAACATAAAGGGGAAGGGGGGGGGGGGGGGGGTTAGGCCGTGTAAGAAGTGCTGAAAGAGAAAGAGAGAGAGAGAACGCGCAAAAGTGGTGTGATCCTCTATTGTTTTCTGAGATCGATGGCCCCCGCTACTCTCGCTCTCCTCGCCCTTCCCTGGCCTCCACGAATATTGGTATGAAAGCGAAAACCGATGAATGATCGATAACCCGTAACCGTTGTTTTTTCTCTGACTGGTCGAGTTTTCGGTCATGGAGCGTCCGTCGTCTCCATGGGCATCTCTTAATGAGATGTTCAAAATTCAAGGCATTAAGGAGAACAGAAAACGAGAGCTTCAGCGCATACTTTGCTTGCCAAAAAAAAAAAAAAAAAGAAGGAAGAACACACATTGTCATCAGCAAGAACAACAAACTCTAATCTACAGAAACACATCAAGATGAGCTAGGACACCTGTATTCTGCATTGGCTATACATTGTAACGTTAGAACCAAGTTTTTCTTTTCTTGTGATTAACACGCGAAACACGCGAGTCAAAAGGGAGCTTTTGCAGATCGCTTCTGTAGCTCCGAATCTCGTAGCGGAGCTAAACGCTGCTACTAAGCATGCGCACCACTAGCTTTGTCTGCACAATTCCAGGAATCATTTAAGGTGGCCGTAAGCTAGCGGGATGGCGGGTGTGGTTGCAGCTTTCGGTACCTTGTCAGCTTAAAAGCCGGTTCTCACATGCAGCGAAGCGCTGATGTAGCGCTCCTCACGTGCCATCAGCTACTTATCGTATGCCATGAGCAACAGTTTTGACGGTCCGATACAAAGCTGGTGAACGCTGCCGTCAGCACGCACTTAGCGCGAGGTTAGCGCTATGCTTGTAGCGCTCCGCTGCATGTGTGAACGGGCCTTTAAGGTGAGCGGAGTGCACCTACGCTCCTTCTCTTAAATACAATATTTTATTTTTACAAGGACTACCATAATACGGGCGTATGAGAAATGAAAAGTAGTGGGTGGCAGACCATTTTTGAAGAATATCGAATTGTTTCTATTGTTTTC